CGATCAGGTACGATGATTTCTGACCTCGAACTAAACTGGGAATCCGACCTATACTGACTTGATCGTCGGAGTGCTCACCTTTTTGTGCAGGTCCGTCCAAGTATTCAGATCGGTCTGGAGGCCGAGTTTGAGCTGCAATCTGAAATACACTGTTGTGCATATCCTTGCATAAACACTATCTATTATATTTGTGATGTTATATAATTAATTAATTATTAATTAATTGGCCATACGAATATAGTTCAATTAGGTAAGGCATGCATTTTTAGTTTAGAAGTCCGAATTTCCCAATTTCTCATGTTGAATTAGGAAAATAATGTCATGTTTAATCGTACATTGCATACAATTAATTGGATCATAATTTTCATCCCGGAGAATTTGGTGAGTGAAATGTGTCCTATCCCAATAACACTCCTAAGGGATTATTTGTTTGCAAATGTGTAGAAAAGGTTTACAAACAATGGTTTATTGTTTTTCAAAAGAGAGATACTTATTATAGTACATTATGCTCGAATTAATCTTATACATTATTTCAAATTTTTTTAGTACAACATAGGGGTAGGAGATCGAACTCACAACCGAGATATATGTGCTGAGTTATGCTCTCTAATTAAGTTAATAAATTATTGTAAATAATATATTTATTCTGATCGTGAGTCACAGGTTCACATGAAATTTCCTAAATAAAAACATGCTGGAAGATGATCCATTTTAAGTCTAAAAAAATTGTTTTTCCTATAAATTTACAATTTACTCTACTTGGTTATTATTTAATTTCTATACTTCCAAATGGATAATTATTTAATATAAACATATACCATATAATTTAAATTTTGTTACAGTTTAATTTCTACCGTAAAAAATCTCACAAAATTAATTTAGGTAACAAAATAACCGATCAGAATAGTACTCGAATTCATTTACTCATTTACGAACTCTTCTTAAATTTGGAGAATGATAGTTAGGGGCCCAAGACTCAGGAGTTTTGTGAATTAAGGAGGACCCATAGGATTCTCCTTCCTCAACTTTAATTATGACATACTACTAAGCACGTTGAGACTCTCTTTTGTGACTATTATTTTTCGACTATAAACGATGGAGGAAAGCATCTCTCCTCAGTATCTATTATCTAACTTTACCTTTTGGGCCAACAGAACCTTTAAAATGTCGGATCGATTATTTGAAATTACAAAAATTACAAAAATGGTGACTTCAATAACGACCGACTGGTTCGAGACCGACCAAGCAACCCCGAGGGCTTCATCCCATCCATTCAATTACCTCTAGTGTGTATCATACTTCTTTTTTGGATATCATACTTCTTTTTTGGATATAAGCCGTTAAAAAAAATTATTTAATTTCTATACTTTCAAATGAATAATAATTTAATATTAAATATATACCATTTGTAACAATTTAATTTTAAATATATACCATTTGTAACAATTTAATTTCTACCGTAAAAAATCTCATCAAAATTAATTTACGTAACTAAATCGTTCAATACTTCAATGAAAGTAATTACAGCGAACAAAAGTGTTTTTAAACCTTTATTAAATAAATATATACATCAATATATCATCCACAAATATTTCCTAACTCACCCCAGGGAAAAGAAAATAAAAACATGTCAAAACAAATAGAAACCATTGAGAAGGAACAATATGCATAAAATGGTAAGATCTATACAAGTGATAATTCGATTTCGATCAAGATAACCGTCTCGAGTTCGAGTTCGAACCTCAATAGAAGAATACGTAGCTAAATTGCAGATAGATAAATAGCAATGATAGTTATAGTATTAAGGAAGTATATGAAAGTATTACAGAGCAGCCAACCACAGAGAAAGCTGCAGAGCTTGAATGATAGTTCCCAAACCACTTCACATTACTACTGGATTCTTTGAGTTTTATTTTTTTTCCTTGTTGAATGGCATTGACAAAAGACATCATTCAGGCCTCCAATTTTGTTTTAGTTCAGTACCCAAACTTAGGCTTTGCAGGTTGTTTTAGCAAAAGCCGTTTGGAAGAATCAATGATTGTGTTAGGCTTTAGCCCCGACGACGCAGGGGACCATGCCCCGGGTGGTTTTAACGTAGGAGACATACTCACCGTAGTGCATGGTGAATAGGGTGCTTTGGTATCGGGTCAGTCTAATGCGCTTCCGCAGTGACTCGGTGATTGCACCGTTATATCCTGCTTTCCGCATCAATGAATCAATGGCCTCGATTTTGGTCCAACCTGAAAAATTAGATGCAGCCGAAACCAGGAACTAGAATCAGAGTTGTGTTCAAAGCATTTCAATCACTTGATTTCATAGTAGAAGGAATCCACCATAAGTAATGGTACAGTAGGCGGACCTTCATGGGCAGCGACCTCAGGCAGATACGTAGCGCTTCGTCTTGCATTATAGTCAGGATCATTAAACTCAATAATAATACCATGTTTACCTACCTGCAATAAGACATCATTATCCCTGATTACGGTAAAGCCTGCCCGCCCGACTGGCAATTCCCTGGGACCAGCCAAAAACACTAGCAGGCAGACAGGACAGGACCAAGCCCAAAAGTTCAGACTGTATCTCATCACCAAAAGGATGTAAGGTATGAAATAATATGTATTTAGTAGGTAACTATTTGAAAAATTTTCATTTTCCTCAGAAGAGCATTAATTTAGTTAGAAACAAAGCTAACTGCTAATACAATGAGAAGGGTTAAACTAGTTACTTTATCTAGATTCTAATAGAGGTATGTGCCTCTAAGCAATGAATTGTTCAAATGTTTGCATTCCTCTAAAGTAATGTTACTTTAAGAATATTCCTCTAACAATATAGCTCAAGCCTGGCATACAGACATTATAATCGCTAATAATGAAAATAAATCATTTCAGATAGTTTAACTGAAAAGGAAAATGACACTCAGATCTTGTGAGACGGCAAAGAATCAGAGCCAACTACTATACTTACTGTAAAATCTTGGATTGAAAACTCACCTCCCAATCAAGATGATTGTTAGCTGTTTCATAATCAACTAGAATGGAAACTGTGCATTCCAGAAATGGTAATTCTTTAGGCTGTATAGGGGGGAACCTGCGGTCCCTCAATGCACTGCAACATATTCAAGAAAAAGGAATCACCAACTAAATCTTTAGATGGATAATCAATTGGGCCAGGTTAAAGTGATAGAAAAATAAGATTTGCATTTAGTTATGCCAATGAGGAACAGAAAGCATGCTAAACCATGAGTCGAGATAGAGCAAGAGAACCAAGGTTGTTTCCTTTGTCCAAAGAAATATTAAGTCAAAAGAATATGTATCCGGGGGGTTTGCTCATTACTGATTTAAGTCTCTCTCCCTCTTTTCCACTAAACTTAACCAAATCAGATCTGTATGAATCAAACTTTCAACTTTGTTGCCTTAACGCATGCATACGAATAATTTACATAGGAATCGGTTAGGTCGCTCTTGAACTTCATTTACCAAATCAGTTTCCTAGAAATAATTTACATAGGAATCAGCTGAAATTTCATCATTTTTCATTATCTGACCCCAAAAACATCTTAATGTGAGAAGTTCATAGAAAATTAATACCCTTGATAGATAACCACCAAAACTTAAAACCTATTGATTTTACAAAAACTTTGAGTTCACAACTTGCCCATGTAACCACTATCCATACAAAAAAAACATTTTACTAGAATTTAGAAACCGCAAGATTTCATTGAAAACGTAAAAACACACAAACCCAAACCAAAGGATTGCAGAAAGGCTTTCCAAATTGGCTATAGAAGAAATAGAATGGTTACAAAAACTTTGCGAAAGCCTTGGCCACAATAGGAACCTGAGCTCTTTCCCTATCATAAAAAGCCTAAGGTTTTGCTCAAGTCCAGCTTATAAAATTGAAAAATCCCATTCAGAAAAATTGTTTTTGTTTAATTTGACAGCACTCAATCCATGTTACACTTTCATTTTGAAGGTATGCTTACCTTTCTTTTCATGTATGTGCAAAGACAATCATAATTAATAATAAGCAGTGAAGTACAAATTCTTGGTACAGACACCATACTTGTGAACCATGTAGGTATGACACCACTGGCAGACTTCTGGACTTTTCATTACATAACTTGCAATAAAAAACTTCAATCTTCATGCATTTATAGATCAATATTAACAGAAATGGACAGTAGAACTATATATAAATATCATCACAGATTCCCAAGTGCTTTGATATACTTTATCCAAATAATTAGAGTGGACCAACTGTTTTGGGCCAAGATTATAGACTGAAAACCATGAGTGAACGGTAGAAGTAAGCATTATGTAGTATTACCTATTTAAAGCATAGTCCTTGAAGCCATTTATCAAGCAGCGAGCTTCTAGAGTTCCTATGCATCCACGCAATCGCGGTTCACCACCATTGACCACTTTTTTCCAGGTAACGAACAAAGGGCTGCAGAAAAGGATTATTTGTGTAAACTGAAAATAAACACAGTCTACAATAATAGGACCTAGGTACAAAGCACTAGGCTTTTCGACAGTGGTTTGCATGATATAAGCATCTACCAAAATTATGCCCAGCCACATGATGGTGCACATAACATGTGAACAATCAACAAATTGATAGCTGGATATCTCCCAGGTAACACGGACAACGTATGATCAGAAATAAGAAACTTAGCTTCGGAAAGTAGTTGGTCAAGTATTTGTTCTAAGACCAATGACAACTTGTTTCTGGTTACTTAATAACAATAAATGTATAAAACCGTTACTCATAAGGTCAAACCAACAAAACAAGGATCGATGACAGTTTGAAACAAAACGATGAGCACACAGGAAAAAGATATCATAAATAATTTGCATTGCATTACAGAGAACAAAGAGAACTCAAGGCAAGCAATGTCGAGCAGAAACACATCTCAGCATGATGAGTACTGCACGTATGCCACATCAAAATGGCCTCTTTGTACATAGGACTTAACGTCAATATCCCTACACTTGAGGAAGCACTTTCAACTACGGTTAACAACTTAATATAATTCATCAACATCACCGTGGATGATTCCTCGGCTCTCTGGGAAAACTAGAAACAAAGAAGATGTACACAGCAACGAAGTGGATCCTCAGCATTTTACAAATGGCACTAGAGTCGACATACAATGACTTCTTACCATGAAGATGGAACCTATACAGCTCCATTAAGATATTGTGAAGATTTGGCAGACCTAGTCTTAAGCAGACATCAAATTAGATGCTCATTCAATTTGTTAAGCTTGATCCTGTGATGCTAATAAAAAAAGGAACTTGGTCGGTAGGTACTAGCAACTAGTAGCTAATTGGTTTTCCTGGCAGCCACATAAAAACTGTTCTTCCCTTTACCACTGGTCACCACTCACCACCATCCGAATACTTATTTCTATTATTTAGAAAGTATTCAACATGTTTCCTTCCCAGTGTTTCTTCTGAGAAACATTTGAATTAATCCAATCTAAAAAGTCATTACTTCAGTCACCAGTAAATGGCAAAATTGAACAATTCGATAAAATGTTCAAAAAATAAATTAAACCCAGCAAGGATACACTAAAACCAAATTCCAAAAGCTAAAATCCAAAAACGACTATCACGATCATCCAAACACCACAATTGCCACCCACCGACCTTGAAATTAGTAAACCACAGATTCCCGATCACACACTAAAACCCACACATGCAAACACTTCCCTTCCCTTCCCTTTACCTTCCCTTCACACAAACACAATCACTGATCGCACATAAAAACAGGGAGATAGAGAGAGGGATTACTGTTGACCGCCGTCGAAAGCCGGGGGAGGGGCGTCCTCGCCGTTGTAGTGAGCGAGAAGGGTATCGAAACAGTACACCACCATCTCTCTGTTCGCGGACACCATGGCCGTCGTTTGAAGTAATCAGTGAAGTGTATGGCTGGAGAATCGAGCAGAAGAAGTTGAGAAGGGCGATTGTGCTTCGGCCCGAAATTACTGAGAAATGGGGGAGGGGGGTTCTGTAATAATTGAGGGGCCGGAAGAAAAGGGAGAAGAAGGAACAAGAACAAACGCGCCTTCTCTCTCCTCTCTCTCTCTCTCTCTCTCTCTCTCTCTCTCTCTCTCTCTCTCTCTCTCGCCTTTCTTCGTCGCCCTCTTTTGCGCCTTTATTCTGGTCTCGCCATTTATATATTTATATATTCATCATCAGTAGACCCATTTTCGTAATTCCAACTCGTAGCGTTTATTCCTCTGGCTTGTTTCGTCAAATATTGTTTTCATATAATTAAAAAAAAAATTTGAGTACATATAATTAAAAAATTAAACTATAACGTTGGTCTTCAAAAGAAATATATATCTTTTAAATTTTAAATTCGATTTCATATACATTTACCTAATTTTTGGAGTTTTTTAAGTCATAAATTTATGTTCTAAAAAAAGGAACAGGTTTGATAATTATTTTATTTTTATTTTCTATTTTTTAAAATTACATTTAAATCCGTAGCTAAATTTCAAAAATTAAAAAAATAAATTTATGATTTTAGTTAAATTTTGACAATATTTTTTAAATAGAGATAATAAAACAAAATAAATACATAAATTTAGTTAAATTTTTTAAAGTGAAAAGTTAGTGATAATTAAAATTGTTAGCAAACACCGCAATTAAAAAGTAAATAAATAAAACTTTTAGTTTTAGGAACAACTTCCAAGTACTTATTGATTCTTCTTTTTAATTAATTTTTAAAGAAAATTTTGAACGGACAGCATTTTAAAACTTTAATGTTACAATATTTTAATGTTAAAATAAACTAATAGTTAAAGTAACTTCAAAAACCAAATAGATAAAAAGTATAGACTATGCCTCGAGATTATATTCATAATATTTTTAGGGGGAAAATTACAGAAAGGAAGGTTGATATTCTTACTACAGTAGGAGTTGGCATCTTGAAAAGATTACAGGAATGAACAATGATTAAATATTACAATGTTATAAAGAAAAAAGAAACCAACAATTACAGGTTTGCACTCTTGCAACACGATATATTCGAACTCGTTTGATAACGTTTCGTTTTTTGTCCCTGTTTCCTCATTTTTAATAAAGAAAAATAGAATTACTATGACTCCAATAGATTCAAGAATCATAAAATAATATTTTTATTAATATTTTACAACAAATTGAAAATGAGAACAAAAAAAATAAAAAGTTTCATGGTATACAATTTTGAAGATGTTTCTAAAAAAAGAGAAAACAACCGACATAAACAATTGTAAAAAGATTAAAAACGAGAAACAAGAAACGAATACATTACCGAGCACCATTCATTGTCAATAATATGCAAGCACCAAGCAACGGTAACCTGAAAATTGAAGAGCCCAACCAACCTGAAGATTGAAGAACCGTACCTACAACTTGACAAAAGAGGAAAAAACAATTATATAATTAGACATCGAAGATTGACCTTATGGAACTACCATTAATAATCAGTTGGCACACAGATTAAATTTTTCTAGTAAAGGATGAGGTCCATCCAAGACAAATTACAGGGCATTTGCATAGTGAACCATGTTTCTCGTGTTCAATCAGAGTCATGTCTTCCCTCTCTGTCTCTACTACGTTTCTTCCTATCATTGGAATCTCGGGAGTGTCTCTTCTCGTATTTTTCATGTTTCTCGCGCCTCTCACGTCTCTCTTCGCGCCTCTCACGCCTCTCTTCATGCCTCTCACGTCTCTCTTCATGCCTCTCCCGCCTCTCTTCGCGCCTCCTTTTCTTACTATTCTTTTCATCCTCCACTGGCTCTTTTTCTGCATTCCTCGCAGGCAGGTCAGTCACAGCCATTTTCTCCATGTCGTCAGAGGTGCTTGTTTGAGCAGGCTGAAGAGAACTAGATTCTTCCCAGGCACGTGGTGCTCTGCAACCGGTTCAAGGACAGATATAACAGCAACAATTAGACCAATAAGTGGGCAGAAAAAAATGCAAATAACATCGATGCTAACAAAATAACAACTGTTTACTTAAAACTCAAATAAAATCTCGTGGCATATTTATGCATTGGCAATGTCACTGAAATAGTTCATTGTTGGGCAAATTTTTCAAACATCCCTACCTTATCCCAAATCATGCTAGACTTAAGGATAACAGTTTCTAATTCTTCCTTACACACAACCATCAAACCGTATCATGAAACCTGACCACAACTTTCAACCAAATTAAGCACTACCTCCAAAACTTGTGCTTACGGTTCGGTTCTTACACAATAGATGTTGCTAGATCCATCCCCCCTCCCCCCCATGTGGGGTGGGTGGTTGCGGGGGAATAGAAATTGTATTGAAAGGATGAGACAACAATTGATAATCACTTCCTTATATAATTGATATAACTCCTTACCTCAAAAAACCAAGACCCTGAACCTGTGCAGCTTCAGCATGGCCTGCACCCAAGTCTTCTGCAGTACTGCCTCGCTTCACAAGTTCTGAGAACTCATGCTTGTCGAGGCGATTACCTTGAGATCTTCCAGCAGTCTTAGGAGCTAAACCAAGTGCCTCCCTCATCGCCTGTTCCTCCTGTTCCTTGATTAATTTTATTTCCTCCTTTGCAGCATCCACATTTGAACCTGAAGACTTTTTATCTCGTGCATACCAGTGTAGATCTTTTCCTGTTCAGTTAAGGCAAAGGTATAGTTAAACACTATTTATCAAGCAAAAAAGTCTATGGGTAAGGAAACAAGATGGATTATCCACAACCAACAAATAAAAAGCAGCATGAGTAATTTCCTCGTAGTTCAGGGCAAAAATAGGGGTCTATTTAAAAATAGGAACAAAAAGTTTGCCAAATAGTTTGCAAATAAATTAATGAAAACAAGAACAATACCGTGCTTCCCAAATAATCACTTCAGAAAATCCCCAAGGAGAGGGAGAACAGTATAGTGCCAAAAATAGGGGCCTATTTAATGTATATAAAAATAGGAAGGTAAAGTTGGCTAACAAAATTTGCAAATAAATTAATGAAAACAAGAATGATAACGTGCTTCCCAAATAATCACTTCAGAAAATCCCAAGAGGGAGAAACAGTACAATGCCAAGGTTGGAACAGTGATAATGAGAACAGAATATAACTACATTCAAGAAGAAGGGTCACTGTACAATTAAACAAAACAAATGGTTTTTCCATTGAGAAATCAATGCCTCGTAATGAAGAAAATCAATAAGTTGATTCAAATTCTCAACTTTATACTTCACATAACACTAGGAGCTTCATAATGATATCTTACCTTTTTGCCATCTTCCAACAGGAGCTTTGAGGCTGTGGCCAATGAAGTTTTCCCTGTGTTTATCAACTTTCACATCCTCCCAACTAAATTCTGCACATCAAGATATCAGGAAAAATAAATCAGCAGTGTTGAGAGTAAAATCCCAAATGTTAAAGAGTCGCTTGCTTTAATTCAGGAAAGGTACTTCCGCAGGTGCACTGATTGTTTACCATTCACCAAATCCAAGAGGTTGGACCGGAGATCAATCGGTTCAAAGACAGGATTATACTCATCAGCACGTAAATTTAAATCAAATGAGAATAAAAAAGAAACAGAGAAAGGAGAGCAATAAACATATGATAGAACCACCACACGTCTACGTGTTGAAGAATAGGAACACGTCATACATATTCAAGGCTCTACTTATCCAGTCGTATTATATTCTGCATGCAAACTATAACATTTTCCTTAATATCAAACTCCAGCTTTTAAATCCACTCGTTAGAAGAGAGATGGGAGGAGACTGACAGAACATAAGCCTAACGATATTTTAAACTGGAAAGGAAAGAAAAACAAAACACTCCGCCTTTTGATGGCTATTAATAACATCGTTCGCCTGAAAAAGAAAAACCCAAGAGCTAGAATGAAACTTCCAATAATGTGAGTAACATTCTTGTAGAGCACATAACTCAAGTATTAGTCAGGAACACGAAAAAATAACAGAAACCCAATACAGCCACTGAAAAACTAATATGCCCCAAAATCCTTATGACCCATCATTTGACTACATTCACCGCAGTGGAAGGACATGACCGCATAAACTACCGCCAAACTATCACGCGTTGAACTCTTCATTCGGCACCCAAACTCCGTGTCCTTTCATAACGAATCTCAAAACTAAAATGGATGGGCGATTCCAGAACCATACCGAGGAATATTTATAATTATCATGTACCAACCAAAAAACCCTAGTAAAATTTCCCGAAACAATACCAATCGTACAACAAATAAACTCGAACCCGATCAGCGGGAGGGGAAAAAACCCTAAATACGCGAATTCAGATCCGTCCTTGAAATTCACAGCCGCTAATCTAAACCCATAAATAGCGATAACCTACTCCAGCGACAATGAAAAAAAGAGGGAGACCCTGGACAAAGTGGGAATCATAGATCATGAAATATAAGAAGTAGCTTACGATCTCGGCCACCACGAACGCCGCCTCTAGTAGGGTGATACATGCTCGGAGTCTATGGCCGCGACCGGAACTTCGCGTCTGTCTCCTCTCCTTGGCCACTGGGTTTCGCGCGGCCTATCTCAGGCGCCAAGTTGAGAAATGAGAACATTGCTAATTGTGATCTCAAACTTTATTTATAACCCATGCGAAATAATAGAAGAAACTGTAAAAAATATTAACACGTCGTTTTATTTTATTAATTTGAACTATGTTTTATGGTCCTGTTTTTTTTTTTTTTTTAAGCAACGATTAACTCCTTAAGTTTAGTTTGTAGACATAGTTTGTAGCGACATGTAGTTCCAAATTAATAACAATTTAGTTAATATGTAACAATTTAGTATTATGATAATTTTTATATATATATTGACAATAATTTAGTTAATATGTAACAATTTAGTATTATGATAATTTTTATATATATATTGACAATAAACCAAATGTATTGGTTAATTATAATAACTTGTATCAATAAATCAATCAATCAATGAAAACCAAATGTATTTATAAATTACAATGACTAAATCGTTATTGATAAAAATTGACACTTAATTTTGATATTTTTCACGATATAAACTAAACTTCGATTCGGTATTGCAAAGACGAGCAAAGTTAATGCAAGAAAAAAACAATGAAATACGAATGAATTGCATTCGAAAATCAATATACCACAACAATTATAAAGAAAGCCTTAACTCGAAAGTTGTCTCGAGAGAGTCATTTACAGCCTTTTCATACGTAGTCATCTCTTCCTTGTTTTTTTTAGAATGACGGTATTCGTTATGTACTTATGAAGGGAAGAGACTCACGATGTAGCTATCGACAAATGCACCCCTCAACAATAGACGCTGAGCAATTTATTTGGTGCTCGAGTTTTTGGCATTAAGTGAGACACGTTTTTATTTATTTCATTATGTGGTTATAATATTGTAATTTGAGAATATTTTAGCATGTCTATGTGTTGATTGAATCTTCAAGTAATCCGTAAACAACACCTAAAAAAAATTATAAACTTAGTTTCGGACAAAATTTAGCATTTTTTTAACGTTTTAGTAATTAATATAAGATAAATGGCCTCTTTCCTCTCAGATTTATTTTTTGAATAGTAATTATTTTATTTGGACTCTAAGTTAAGTAGATGAAATGTAGCCATTGTACTAAAGTGAGTACGTTATTTAAAATTGGTAGGAGTCATATCTTAAAAAAAAAAAACCAAGGTGTCTACATATCGTCTATTAGGAAAAAAAAAGGGTTATTATTTTTAAAATTAGTTTCGCAAATCGTTATATCTTAATAATTGGTTATTATTTCTATAATTTTTAAAAAGAAGTCCCAATTTGACCGGACTTAGCTTGTTTGTAAAAAGAAAAAAAAAAAGAAAAAGAAAATTTTGTTTTGTAGGACCGCATCGATTTTATGTTATCACGTATTTTGATTTTGATTTTAATTTAATAAAATGAAAATATAAGAGTTAAGATTTGTTTTTCTTATTTATAAAATAAAAAAGAGATGACATACTTAACATAATTCGGTAATTGACATAAATCACGGAATTATGAGTTCTATATTTTAACGTACTAAAAAAATTTAGAAAAAAATATAGTAAATGGAACTATAAATTTTAAGGGAAAAAAAAACCCAAAATCATGAAAATATGCGATTTGCTGCTTGCATCAAATAAACCCGGTCGGAACCGGTCGAGTGCCGTTTGGGGTTATCCGGTCGGCTATAAATACAGAAAGGATCTATTAGGGCACTAAAAACCTGAACCGAAAAACCACGCTGTCACTTTCGCGAACATTTCACAGAGCGCAAATGGCCATGCGATCGGTGCTCAGTCGTTCCTCGCTGACTATGTCGACGGTGCGAACCGCCGGCGCCGGCGGTGTCCGGGTCTTCTCCGACGACAAAGGTCGGGTTCTCAGTGAGGAGGAGCGTGCTGCCGAGAACATCTACATCCAGGTTGAATTATTAGTTTCAGCAGAACGTTCGAAAAGTATGAGTAGAAATTAGTAGGAGTCCGATAATCGATCTGTTTTTATCGAATTTTAACTTGTTTTAAACTCAAATTGAAATGGACTACACCGAGAAGCGAAGTTGCTATTTATTTCGGAGGGAATTCCGCACTCTCTTTTTGTGCGAGGAGTTCGTGTTCTTCGATTTATAGTAGCAGGAGATCATATATCTGTTTTATCGAATTTTTGCTTGTTCGAAACTCAAATAGAAGTAGACTGGAGTGAGAATGAAGTTACTATTTACATTAGGCGGTACTTTAATTTATAGTTGATTTTCCGATGTTCGCGTGCAGAAAATGGAGAGAGAAAAGCTGGAGAAGCAGAGGCTGAAGGCAGAGAAGGAAAAGGCAGAGAAGGAGAAAGAACAGTCGGATAAGGTAGTCACTATTGTCATTATTTTAAATTTGGGATCGTGCCATTATTTCGATCGAGTTCGGATACCTGTTTCCTCGTTGACCGTTCTTTGCTAGTTGATTTGTTGTAAGTGAGACTATGACTAACCGTAATTTGTGATCGACGCGATATTTCTGTGTATAATGCTATATGGCCTTATGGGACTTGAGAAGATCCATCATCCATTAGTGTTAATTCACGGTACTTTGCTTAAGTAGCTTTCATTGGCCATATATTCGATGTTCGAACTTAATTTCTTATACCTACATGGAAAGTGAAACCGAATCCAAGCGTCTGAGCTAGATTTGATTGCAACCTATAGTTGAGTTGAGATTATTACTCATTGTGATTCAATGGGAACAACGTAAGTTCATAGCTTCTGATATTTAGTTATCGTATCTTCTTTTCTTATACTTTTGCTTGTTATCCATAGAAATTTAAGCACCATTCAAGTTCCAGATCAGTATTACTTTTGTAGATGGGAGGTGCATCTAGAATGCTGTTTTGGCCGTTTGGAGTGTTTATATCTGGATGATCCTTGTGGTAAATTAAATCTAAAAAAACTATTTTATTGTTCAACTTCAATGAAATCAGCATTTAAGTGAAATTTAACTGGATTGAAATATATATATATATATATATGTATGTAATTTTTTTTTATTGATTTCTGTCAAATAAAAAACAAAAGACTATCTGGTAGGATTTTTGTAATGAATTTGTTTTGATGTTATTTCGAACTATGCAATTCCTTTGTTTGTGGGATCATTTTCTCATGGGAGGTAATTAAAATAAATTATAAAATGCGGTTGTTACCGATGCCTAAATCTAGGATAAATGGAAATCTTATTGGTAAGACCTTATCAACTGTAGCCAACATATTATTCGTAAGTTGTGACTACTTTCTATTTTGGGGGTATGGGGTGCATTATTTAGAATTCCTTTCATTTTCTGAGTGTTTCTATCTATTACTTTATACTTCTAAAATGTGACTAACTTTCTCATACTTTTTTTTTGTAACTATTAAGATTCATCAAACAAATGTGTAAGTTAAGGTTCTTCCCTGCGGGATAATTGATGACATGCCCATTTCAATATATCCAATAATGAAAAAGTAATATTGTTGTCGATCAACTGTTTTGATGCCAGTTTAGTTGCTATGTTCCTTCTTGAATAGTAAAGTAATTATCTTACTCTCCTTTCTTGTTCTTGAAATTGCGTTTATCCTCTTTTATCATTGTTTCTTCTCTGCAGAAACGTGAAGGGACCCAGTAGATGATGGTAGTTCATCTTCAAGCTGTAACATCTGCTTTTGAGTTTGCTCGCAAGGAATAAAATGTGAGACACCCCCCTCCTCCCCCCACCACCCACCCACTCACTCACTTTTCTGTAAACTGTTATAGCTGGATTTGATCTTTGTATAGATTATCGATGTTACTTGTCTTTGATTGTCTTTCCACTCTGAAAGTGGCATCATCTTCTTTGTTTTAACTTTTGAGACACAATTATCTGCACTTGGTTGAACTAGATAACTTCGTTTCGTGTTTGGAGCATACCCTCTTCACCATTCTCTCAAAAAAAAGCCATCGGCAATGGTTCCCATCTGGACCTGCTCGCCCCTCCATTTGTTAATCGAATGACAATTTCCTTCTCTGCCAATTTTTCTTAGCTCCAAGTTCTTTCCCTGCTTTAAGGAGAAACCATAAACAGGTAGATTCTTTAGTTCAGTTCTTAATAAGACTGGCTAGATTCTAGAAGCTTGCTTTGCTGTTCTTTTAGAAATCGGGTGGCTGTTATGATCAACAAAGTAAGCGAAGCACGAAAGATTTCATAGTGCAGAACATCGGTAGGATACTGTACATAGAGGAGACAGTTACGAAAGGAAGTATGATACGCTCATAATATTAGACTTTTTCCAGTGGTTATTCACTGGGTACAGTACTACGACACAGTGGAAATGGAAGAGAGAGAGAGAGGGGAATGATGCAATTGGGCCGGGCTAGTTTCTCCATTGCATCTCATTGGGCCCATGTTTCCAAAATATGTTGGCTAATGGCCATTGTGTTAGTGGCAGAAGATCCCCTCTTCAATCATTGGTCTAAAACGCTTTAGGTGGTTGCGAAGGGACAAACTTGTGAATTGATGCTTTAGTACAGTTTTGTTTTAATGACAGATTATAACCGAGTCCAAATGCTTTACGGCTGCTTGATATGATGGCCGTTTTGGAAAAATAATGCATTTTTCTTTCTAGAATAAATTTTAAATAAAACTCTTTTTAAAACTTTGGCTTTTTAAACAATAGAACCTGTTTTAAGAGTGGTTTGGGGGTGCTTTTGTGAAAATAATTGAGTTAAATTTCAAGTTTTGTCTCTGACCCATTCTCTGTTTGTAATCGTTTTTCATTCTAAAAACTATCCTTGAAGGAAAAATTTAATAATAATAAAACATGAAATAAAGTGCATTAAAATGGTTTAAAAAATAAATTTCACACACTGCGATTTTCATCGTTCTTGTTTTAAATAACGTCTTCAAAAGTTATCTTCCTTTGTTTTTTCACATTATAAAACTATTTTAAAAATGTTTTAAACTTAATTTCCAAATTTCAATATCACACCCTTGAATTTCAAACAAAAAGATTCCCATGCATGTGAATGTGACTTTATTTTCTTTCTAGGTACTCAAAATCTGGCGGCCAAGCCCCTCTCCTCCAATAATTTGATAGACGTGGGATGAGATAGAAACTCCAAACCGGCGGCGCAATTCAAGGCTCTCTCTTTTTTCTCTGACCACATAATTAACTCTCACAAAGTCAAGCACAAATTCAATAAAGAAGAAGAGTCTGAATTCTTCTTTTCAGCCCAAAATAGACTGCCAGCCATTGGATTTTCTGTATTTCTATAGTAATAATAAACAAAAAAACAAACAGTCGATCTAAATGCAGTCCTTGGCTAAATCTATCAAAGAATTTCCATTCATCTCCTGTGTTTCTCCTACTTTCTTTAACTGCTGTTTCTAACATCATCTCTGATTCACTACTCAGTTTTTGCTTTCTTCTATTTACTTACAAACAGATCCCTACTACTGTTCAAATTCCATATCATCAGCTTTCCCCTGTGCTGGGGGAACGAACCAGAAGAACGAAACCCGGGTACGTACATACTTGCTGTCTTTACAGATTTTTTTTTTGTTTGGTGTATTTACATTGTTGTATTAATGTAGTAGTTTAGCTTCTAAGGGGATCCTGTAGGTATCGATCCCTACATTGGGAACCCAAAATTTTGATACCCGAGTGAGCCTCCTTGATCTTGCGAATGACCTGTGGAACTCAACTGCTGCATGCTTGAATTGGGGGCTGGGGATATCCAATTCGGGTCGACAGGGATTGGGATGGAGCTGTTGTCTACTGTTGTGATGTCGTGAATGCTTGACCGTTTCCTTTCTTTCTTCCCGGAGTTTTGTCGGAGAAAGTACTTCTGAGCATGGCTGGCTACCTGGGTTGGGGTTCTTGTTATCACCACATTCCTTGAGATGCTCCTCCAATCGCCCTTGCCGAATTTTTTCAGTCCAAGGAGAAATAACCTGTCATAATACCAAACAGAACTTAACATCACAAAAACTAAAATTTAGGTAGTTTCTGCTATGTTTTCCCTCCAAAATTCAAGCTTTTGACATTACAGTTCTCAAAATCTACTGTTATATGAAACCTTAGACAGTAAGGAACCCCATTTTTGGTATATTATGAAGTCAAAAACTTCATATGGACGCTACAATCAACTATAAGTTAATAACAGAGCAATTTACAAGAAGACAGTGATAGAATTTTCAATCGTTAGCCCCTACATAACCAACAAGTCAGCTTATTAGTTAAAAGGGTAGATCACGAACCCGGATGTTCTTAAGCTCATAGACATAAGTCATGATAGCTACCGAACTAAGATATTAAATATAGTTAAATTCTTGAATGCCAATGTCGTAAGGTTATATGGTTGTCGCACAAGCTAGCCTAGACACGGTTAAGATTAATCAAAGAAGCTCAGCTATAGGGCAGATTTAAATCTTTATAGTTTTTTACATTCACGATAGATATTCTCCTGTGCCAGCCATCTGATTCTTGTGCATGGGAAGATAAGATCATGTTCTTCCAATTCCAATACAGTCCAAAGTGGCTCATAACTTGGGAAGATTTTGCATGTCCATAAAGCCATAACAGATAAAGCAAACTCCACCAAAACTTGACCTCTTTATTCCAAAAGAGATTCCTTTCCAGACCTATATTTAGGGACCCCAAAACGACAGGAACTTCAATTTTCTTGGAATCATCGTAAGATGGGAGTTCAAAAGCACTTCTAAAACTGAGAAATCGAGGTGAAAAACATGCAAGAAAAAGCACCTCTAATTCTAAATCAGAGACTAGAGTTTCTTCCTCTGAAACTCCCAATTTGGAAGTTGGAACTGGAAACATGGCATACAAAACCCAAGAGTTCAAATTCTCTCCCGAGTGGATTCCTCCCCTTTTCCCACCATTTTTCTCAGCAGCCAAACAGAAATATAAAACAGAGAAAAAAAATTGGGGGAAAGTAGAGAAAAAAATACCTGTGTTCTTCCTCAGTCCAGGGCGTGCCTTTCTTCCTCTCGTTGTCACCGCCGTGCTTGGCCTTGGATCCGAAAGAGATCTGGCCGGAGGAGTCCCATTCCGGCAAACCCACCGCCGATTCATCGGCATAGCTGGGCAACTCAACTCGGCCAGAGTCAATCTCAAGGACGTCGTGAACCAGAGCCTCGTAGTGGTCTCTGACCTCCGTCGGCGACTTTCCGGGGACATGGTCGGCGACCCTCTGCCAGCGATCAGGCAAGTCCGCCGGAACCACCACCAAGGCCTCCTCGAAAAGCTTGTCGTCGGAGCGAGTCCAGTGAGTCAAAGACTGAGTCATATTCGGCCACCGACTATCCTGAAACATAACAAGAACCAGCAAAAACAGAGAGAGAGAGATTGAAGAAGATGGGTTTGTTTGGAGATTTCGCATATGGTGTTTGGTTGGAGGGTGGAGGAATTGGAAAATTCTGGGTTGTGGTATATATAGCATTTCACAGGCAGGGAAAGAGTCGATTGGATATAGGGGGAAATTTGGGAATTGGGGTTTAAAGGAGAAGAGAGAGAAAGAGGAGAGAGAGGGAATTCGAAATCAACACGTTTTTAGTATAATTGGGTTGGTTTTAAAAATGGATTTTACTCTGTCGGCTTCATTCTTAGCTGTACTTTTACACTTGTTTGGTTGCTCCA